TGTTAGTAATAAATAAATTACACAAAAATATTGTATCTATATCTTGCGAATATAACTACTATAAAAAAAATTTCGCATAGGGTTTTCAGTGTGTTTGCATTATCTATTTATCTGATTATCTATATTATCTGTATTTTTGTGTAGCTGAATTTTTACAGTTATAGTTAGTTAAAAATACAATTAAAGCATAGTTTTTATGTGAATAAAAATTATGCTTTAATTGTATTTGGCTATGCGTAGGTAAATTAGTGTTTTGGTGGCTAGATTTACGGAACGAGTTGTATGGTGAGGAAATTTCTCAGGGACACTACCACGGAACTAAATATTACCAAACACTGTAAAAAGAACAAATAAGTACAAAATAATATGGTCAAATTGAAAATAAACCTCTTATTTTGGGGATAAAAGGTTGATAAAATGATTGTTACTTAATTATATTGTATGATTAATATAATGATGTCAGTTTAAACAAAAGTACCTAATTGAAAGTTCCGTGTTCACAGTATGTCAGAGGAGCGATGGACGACCGCCCGCGATACAAAGGCTTTGTCGCCACCGCGACGCTTTCATCCTGCGCTTTGGTATAGCGGGCCAGCGCGGCCGCATTGTGCCGCAATTCGTCGCGGCGCCGCACGCTGGCCGACCGCGGACCGCCGCGTTTGTGTCGCTGGTGTTGTGACATCGTCACAGAGCATCACACGCGCCGACACACAGCCCGACTGTTTGCATTGTACTACGTGCCGTGACATATCGTTTGTGGGACCGCCGCCGACGCTCAACTATCGCTCCGCTGTTTTATGGAGTTAAGCTTTGTTGCATTGAATAACTTAGATGTAAAGGAGGGTTAACAATTACACAAGACCTAGGCATTACCACTGCCTATTGTTCGTGCGGTTTATGTAAAGATGTTCGATATTTGTGGCTGGAAGGTCCGTGATGTTGAAATTATAGCGAAATGATTAAGATTAAATGTTCAACAATATAATATAAGTGGCAAAGTTAACAATGTATCTATTTTAATAATAAATTATATTATTCTTCCACTTAGTGTTATAAAGAGGCCGTGGGCGTTACTGAAAGGGCTGTGCTTTTGTAGCATATTTCATAGAGTATTCTTCATTTATTGTTATCCTAAGGGTATATTCGCAAATGAACGCTACAAGCAACCTTGACCTGCTCTGTATTTCATTGAAGAGAGAACACTTTCGTTGCAGTATTCATGTGATAACTGATACAGTCTTGATATGCGACTGAAAAACATTGGTAGTGAATGTGGGATTAAGATTGAATAAAAATAATAATTAAATGTAGTATTTTGTTAGGATTAAGGAACAAACAAAGAGATAAAGTTCCAATTTTATAAGGTTTGGATGAAAATTGATAAACGGCCAGCCAGTTTCATAAACGTTAAAAAATATATTATTTCTTATGCCTGATATAAATGTCTATGTAGGCATTTATATCAGGCATAAAAATTAAAGTATATTTTTTAATTTTCATCCCTAAAATGTAAATATTCCCAATTATTATTATATTAGGTATTTACAAGTAGTACCTAGTAGTACCTAATAGTTACATTCAATAAACACGTTCTAATAAATGTAGGTAAACGTTAAATTCCATTCAATGCACAGAACGAAAGCTGTAAGGGTGTGACCAATTCGCTAATGTTCAAACTGTCATAATTCACATAATCGTGTATGCAATTAAACTCTCATTATCTATTGTCGACTTTAAGGAAGAAAAGTTGAACATTTCATGCTTTTAATACACAAAAGACTATCGTTCTCTCGACAGCAAAAAATACAAAAATGCTAACGCAGTTTTATTCTTTATGAGTTTTTAAATTATATAGGCTGCTTTCAGAGTATAAGATTTTACTGCAAATTTTATTTTATGGTCCCATATATGAAGAAGAAATTTATGAGTTTGTTTGGCGGGTGCAATCTTAGAAAGTTCTTAATCGAATTATATAAATAAAAATTATGCATTGTTTGGCAGTAGGAAATTAGAGATATGACAATTATTTTTAATGATTGATGATGAAATTTAAGCTCTTGTCAGCGCTAAGATAACAATATGAGAAAGAAGTAGTCAAATCAGTAAGCACATAGTGACTAATTTCCCAGGAATGAAACAAACAAGATGGTTCCAGGACGGACCCCATGAAAGTTGATAAAAAATTGAAAACAATATATTTTTTTAATTGTAATAAAATGTGGTAAATTTTTCTATAGATTTGACTTAGTATAATAGTAGTAGTAGTAGTACACAGTAATAATAAAAGACTGACTTCACAACTTACAGTAATAAAGTAATAAATACAGTAGTATAGTGATCATACAGTTTAACTGTAGTGATTTTAATGAGTAATCGCAATAGCGATGATTTTTTTAAGGAAATCGAAATAATAATTTGTTCGACCACTTGATGGTAAGTGACAATCGCCGCCTATTTCTACCAATATAGGTAGAAATAGGCGTATAATAATAAAAAAATACTAGTTTTATTATACGTATAATAATAAAAAAATACAATTTTTATTATATAATAAAACTAGTATTTTTTTATTATTATACGCCTTTTATTTATTTTAGCTCATTTATTTCTTATTATGTGGTACTAGACATCTGATGTAAGTATTAGATATTTTTTGTAAATACATACGTAATATATATAGAAAATACACAGACAGATACAAACACACATCTCTTGTTTGTACCGTGCGAGGAATTGTTTGATACTGCAACTATCGGAAGTAAAACGGCGTGCTAAACCGCTCACCAAGGCCGTCAAAGGTCTATATGAACAGCATCACGAACATTATGCCGTCCAATGATGTTATGAACATCACCATCACCTTTAATAATCCGAAGAAATAAGATGTCATGTATCCGTATCCAGTAGCTTCAACGACATATGAGAGCTTTCAATCGAAAAACAGCATTCAAACCAAGTGCTTAGCCGCTGATATAGGTGACGCAGATGTAACAAACACGAACATAATTTTGTACAAAGATTTTAAATTTAAACAAAGATTTTAATTTTACCTGTAATTTCACTACCTTATCACTTTCACTATCCTTTAACCAAAACACAAATAAAAACTAGCTCGTAGGGGGTTGTAATAGATAAAACTCACGAGGTAACGCAGACATAACACACAGATTGCGTTATACAAAGTTTACCTAGGTAAGACTTAAAGATCTGTTTTATTCCATGTATTGGTCTTCAGTATTGGCTAAGCAATAGGTAAGCAAGTTGTTAGGGTACATTACTGTGCGACATATCTAAGTTATATTGCAATGTTTTAAAGAAATTGTTTCAATCGTTTCCAAATTCCGAGATCAATGAGTTATTTTTAAAATATATCTCTTCTTAACAATTCTCAATTCAAATATGACATAACATTTTTGTAGTTAATATTTTATTTATATTAGTTCGCTTTTATCAAATAAACAAATAATTAGTTATGTAGGACATATTAGCCGCTTATGAACGTAATTTTTTTGTATTAATATTTTCCCTACCGTCCAGTTCAGTATACAGATTCAATTGAGAAGAACTGGCAAGAAACTCAACTGAATTTCTTTTTTTAAAAACTATAATAGTTTATTCACATTGTGTACTTACACGTTTATACCTAACATTAAATGAAAATTCCGTGCAAGAACTATTACAATGCATGTTTGTCATTCAAGTAATCGTTTAGTGTGTACCTAATAATAGGCTAGGCTTTGCTCAACAAATATGATTTAACAGATGTTTTGAATTTATTTAAAAGTAATTTCAATAAAAAATAATTTAAATATTTAATTCTGTACTACGAGGACTAGGTTTATTATCCTTCAAAGATATGTCGGCTACATCACATCCTAATAGCCTTAAATAAATTTAAAAAATCTGTTAAATCATATTTGTTGAGCAAACCTTATTACACACTAAACAATTTCTTAGTTGACAAACATAGCAATGGCTTTTCATACTCGGGTTTTTTATGAAATGTTAGACATAGACATCTACATAAGTACACATTGTAAATAAACTGGCTTAAAAAAAATGAGATTCAGTTGAGTTTATTGCCAGTTTGATACTGCGAAATAACTAAGTAAGTAATGAATCAATGAGACAGAAACACATCTATTGCAGATTTTGTCATATCGGAATATGAGTTTATCTGTTAATATACTTAAGTAAGTATATTACTGGCCTACATAGATTGTACTTATATCTATGTCTTAGACTCTTTTTTATATTTTATACATTTTGTTAACATATGTAGGTACTACATAATTAACCAATAGTTTACAAATGTCTCAATTTTGGTTGGTGTTAGTTAAATCTACTTTCTCTATACAATTTTAAAAAGTTTTAGACGTATTATACGTATAATATCATAAGTAAGTAGAGCTTTTACTTAAATTGTTTTGATAGATACATAGAAAATACCTAGACGAAATAAACAGACTACTAAATACTCATAATCATATCGCACGGGGATCGTAACCGAACATACGAAAAGGGTCCTGAAAGTAGAGTTAGTTATGTACTCATAATTACTACAGTAACTATACTTAATAGAATTGATTAACAAATCTTCTATCTTGATTAACAAATTTTAAATGATACTAATAGGTACATATATTACTTAGTTTAAAAAAACACTGTCATAACATATATAGAGAATATATATGTTCGTAGCTATATAAAATATGTACATACCATAAAATTAAGTCGCTTTCGCTGTCTGTTCGCTTAGATCTTTTAAACTAAGCAACGGATTTTAATGCAGTTTTTAGCAATAGATAATTGTAGCAGTAATAGATCGAGTGATTCCAGAGGAAAATTTATATGTTTAATACATGTACAACCGTGTGAAGCCGGGCCACGTAGCTAGTCAGATATAAAGTAATCACATACAATTTATATGTGTGATTATAAAAAGGTTTTGTAAAAATAAAACACAAAAGAATAACAGATAAAACATATTTTTACTAGTGACTACAATAAGTTATAGTTGTCTTCATTATAAATTATCTAAATCTGTACATATTTACATACATAGACTTACAATAACATTACAATAATTATCACAGATTCCAAAATTATTAAACATAGCAAAATTATTGGGCAACAGCTGACTAAAGGGAAAAAGCTAATATTTTCTTTATTGAATTCAGTCTCAAGAAAGCTGTGCTTTACATGCTTTCGCGTTGTATTCCCTGAAAAAAATTGAACAAACCAATTTTAGAGGTAATTTTACAAATTTTCGTTTAATAGTTACTATTCATTATTAAAGTTCTGTCCAAAATATTTATATGTAATTTCGAGCACATGCTTTGGTAAGAATATCATATTCATAGAATTTTATACAATACTTCGTCATCAAACAAGCATTTTAGTATTGTCGTTTATAAAATAAAGCTCTTTTTTATGTTCTTTTTGCACATTTGTTTATAAATACTTTGAAAAAATATTAAGGATTTTTATTCTACTTTATGACATTTTTTCTTTAATATTTTTTATTGGCGTGGACATATTATAATACACTTTACAACAATAAAAATAAATAATTTGACTATATACTTGAATATGCAAAATAATGAACTTTACACATTATTTTTGTATATACATAACAAATGGGAGTTAATATAAAATAGAAGAGTGTAAATAGAAAATAATAAAAAAGAGTAGAAAAGATTAATGAAATAATATGAGAACATAAATAAGTCATGAAGGATGATAACAATAATGAAAGCAAAACTCACCTTCCGTAACAGAAGCTCCGTTGATCTTATTAGATAACACTTATTGTGGTACTTATACCCACAAGATCGCCACTGAACAATATCCCTTCAGCATCACTAATATGTTTCTTTATTCTCTAATGTTTTTTTATTTATCTTAGTCATAACGAATTGTCTCTAGACACTTATACTAGAGCTACACACGTCTGAGATCTTTATTTTCTTACGTCGATGTTATGCAGGTACCTGTAGACAAAGATAATGTGGATTTAGTTACTTGTTCCTTGCGCCTTCGTATGCTTTTTTCAGAGCATAAATTCCAGGTAATACAATTTTATTATCTTGTCAAATTTAATAAAGATTCATTAAGTCATTTAGAAGTGATAAAGTTATTACCTTATTACGACTAAATTACAAATGAATATAAAAAGAGAGACATACTTATACAATTAAATCAAAGTTTTTAACTCTACAATTAAAAATGTAACTAATGGACTAGTGGTCTCATTACTAAAATATATTATAGCAATGTAGGGCCAGGTAGACCATACTGAGATCCGTCTAATTGCTTTTGTGGCCAATTTGTGGTAAAGTTCTCATGGGTTAAATGAGTTGACAAACTTCATCTTCATATTGTCCGCCATCGTACACCATCAGCGCAGTAGAGAGAACCATTTCACCATCATTCACCTCAGGACTTGGAATGCCAGTGGACATGATGAAATGTTTACTACATTCATAAAAGTATAAGTACTACTTGTAGCTACTGGTAAAATAGGTACTACTATTGGTAATAGGTCAGAAATTCTTAAAGAAATAAGTAAGAAATATGGAAACAGAATACTATTCCATCAAGGTTTTTTGAGTTTCTCTCGACTTTTGCACTCATTTGAAATACTGTTAAGACGTCCAAATACTGAAAAAGAATGATGATCTGTTCTTACTCGGTCACCACATAAATACAGAGTAAACATATATATATATATATATATATATATCCTTCTAACATAATGTCCAGTTTTTGTGATGTGAATCATTTTTAATTTGACCTGCAGAGGTGATTTATTAACCTGAATTTGTGAACATGTAGTTTGATTGATATATCTAAATATATAGATAGACATACGGACAAAGCATTATATAATTTTATTATTTGTATTGATATATTTAAAGACAATATAGCAGATATTAAGAACTTTTTATGTTTCTAAAAATTTCAATATTACCAGCCAAAATCTCCCATTTATATAACAAACTTAAAAATCATTTAGAAATTATTTATTTAAAAAAAAATATTAATATTCTTTCAAATATTAAATTTACTTAAAAAATCTTTGGTTTCGCTTAATTTTTTTAAATTAATTCATTTATAAGTAGTAGTAGAAAGTTCCGGATAACCCGCTAATTAATATATTTTAAAAATAAAAATTGACAACTATGTTTTTGACGTAATTATGAATAATAAATTTTTTTCCCCATATTCGTCCATCTCCTTTTCAGTGATGGAACAGGCAAAGGTTTAATGACTGCATGAGATGCACTTTGCAACAAATCAATGTTGGATTGGTTTTGTAATTTGTACTGTATAGTTTCATGTTTGTCACGGATTTATTTATTTACAATGAGATTAATGTAAAGTTCAGAGTATATTCCAGCACCTAAGAGTGTATTAAATCTCAAATCTACTTATTGTATATTTATTATTTATTATATATTATTATTTTTAGATAAGTACTTACATTGTCATGGTTTAATTATTAAATTTATTAATAAATACTTATTAATATTCCAGAAGTAGACTTTGCCAATCCATAAGTTTTTTTTATGATGATAATGGACACCCGCCGTTTATCATAGGTGTACGCTAATGGGGCACTAGTGGAGGATGATAATGTTTGTATGAGCCTCATTTAGCCTATTATGACAAATTCATCAGGAATTTATCACGTTGTATTTCAGGGAGCACCGTATGAAAGGTAACTTAATATGGAATGCATAAATGCATAGGTATCTCATGATGACGTGTTGTTCGTGGAGGCCGTCAGCTTGTTTGCTATACAGGAACTTAAGAATTACATATAGATATGTTGTCTTAATTTACCTTAATTTATATCTAATAGCTATATATATATCTAAATATATAGGTACAATTACATACATAAAAAGTGAGAATACACAGAAGGAGCAAAACTTATATTTTCAGAACGAACATTACTTTTTATTTTTAAGGAATTGTAACTCTAATTTAGAAATGGACTTCATTTCAATACTACAAAAAAAGAAACATACTATCACGACTGTTGTCCCAGGTTGGGTAGTTAGAAATATTGGCAACATTTCGCTGAACAAAGGTATTAGAATTAAACAAGGCAGGGGGAAACTGCTAGTCCTTAGATTAATTTTAGATTTTATATTGGTGTTACCTTCACCGGAGAGTCAGTCACTAGACAAATTTGTATTCAGGGCAATAAATCACTAAATGATTTTTTTAAAATCATACCTACGCATTAAATTCTATTTTCACATTAAGGTGAATTATTTATTTAACTATAGTTATTTTACTAACTCTCTAGTCGTTGTTAAGTTAAATGTCTGTTTAAGTTTAATTAATAAAAAAACTAGAAGTAAATAGTCTATTTATTCTATTATTAGATCTCCTAATATAATAGGTATTAATATAACTTCAGCTAAAGATTTAATGACAAATATAGAATTAAACACAGAAACCATTTAAATATAAGAAATGGCTTTTTTTATTAGAAATCGAAACTCTGGAGTAAATATAGAGTGCATTTTTTATTATTTACGTAAGTTATTAGTGAAGATCGAATTCTGAAAAATATAATGGAGTTAGAAGGTATCAAGCTGTTTGCTGAAATGTACTTCTTTAATGTTAGTACATTCTATTTATAATTTGTAATTTTACCATTTCTAAAGTGGTCAAATTATTTGTGGATATTATTTATGTCAAATAATAGTTCTCGAAATGAAGAATTGACTATGTTTTTATTTTAAAATATTACTAAGTGGTAAATGTGATACACAGGAAAGTATCAATATCACGACTTAGTCGTTACCAATTTTTAATAACGCTCAATAAACTTTTATATTTGGTTATCTTTGCCCTGATTATGTAACTGCTACTATAATTTTCATTTCAATTACTATGTAATTAATTTCTGTAATTCATATACATGTCTGTATTAAATCGAACAGCTTGTTTGAAACTGTCAGTTATCAAAAGGTAGGTACACTGCTTTAACACAATGTAAATACATAACATTGTCTGCGTTTTAGGTAGAGTCGTACGTAGTCGCCGCAAAATCTAATTCTCTGCTTATAAAAATCTAATCTTGTCTCAGCGTTTATTATCGAACTTCTTCGAAACAGTTTGATCGATTATTATTAATCTTTTGGTGTGTATTTCGAGAATAGATTTAAGTTTTTTTAGAGCCCATGACTTCCTTGTACCCTTGGTGTTCTGTATAACAATAGTTTTAAGTTAATTATTTTGCTTGCAAATCGATTGGAGCGAAGCGAACACTTAATTAACTATTAAGTGAAGTTTGTCACAATACATTTGCGAAAACTGTACCTAAATTAGATGAGCCGTTTATGAGAATAAAATGTTCTACAAAAAAACTAGCAATATTTTTTTTTCGTTATTGTGTTCTCTTGTCTGTCGTGTCTTTTATCTTATAGTACAGACAGCGGTTCATTTTTATTATGTACATGGATATATATTTAAATAGTTATGTCTTCTACATAACTATTAAATTTTTTATTTTTTTAATTTGGACATTTAGTTTAAACAAAATACCTATTTATAATTCTTAAACGACCTCTGTAGATCTCTATGGAGACGTGTTGGGTAGCAGTGGTATTCATGTACCAATTTTGGGGAAGTTATTATTTTTGTTTGTCACTAAGCTTTCAGATCTTTGTTGTCTATGTAGATAATTTTTGTACTTTATTGTTAATGTATGTATTTATGTTAAATAACTAGGTATATGTTGCTAGTAATAATAATATACTATAAGTACATTACTATTACTAGTAATATATGCCTAAATAGGTAACAAAGTGATCTCGAGGTATTAACAATTGACAGAGTCCAATAATTATGAAATTATATGTGGTGTATTATACTCTAAGTATTTGGGGTAGGCAGAGGTTACTTTTATTCCGTTGAAGTAGGTAATAAGTCACGTTCATATCAATGAAACTGTGTAGAACTAGACAGTAGGTATATTCTTATTAAAAAATCGAAACTTACCATTCATGAATTAAGCGTATAATGTGAGAATTGACTGGTATCCCGCCAAGTCCATAATGGAGGTAAACAGGATTGTTGCAAGCCTGCCAGCAGCTCGGCGTGATACCTCTGCGCAGCCAGCAAGTAGGGAGCTGGAGGAAGTGGCAACGGGCAATGTGGCTGCAAGGGCGGTGGTGGCAGGGGCGGGGGTGAAGGTGACAAACGACGTGGCTCTGGCTCTAACAGAGCATCTATAGTGAACGCCCGACGAGGTCGCGGTCCTACAGGCAACAGTGCTGCTGTATCTGGAGCATCTATCGGTTCAGGACTAGGCCTTGAACACATAGTAGCTGCTGGAGAGTATAGGCTACCGTTTGGTAAACTAGTTGCCGAGGGAGCCCCAGCCTGTCTCGCTAAGAATGCTCTATTAAAACTAGCGAGTGCCGCCAATTCCGCGTTCAGGCTATCTTTTTCACCTTTATGCAACTTAAATCTCTTGCGTCTCCTGAGCAACGATCCATTCTCGAACATGTCGAAGGCCTGTGGATGCAGTGTCCAGTAGGCTCCTTTCCCGGGCCTGTCTGGGCGACGGGGGACCTTTACGAAGCAGTCGTTGAAGGAGAGGTTGTGCCGCAGCGAGTTCTGCCAGCGCTGCGTGTTGCGCCGGTAGTACGGGAACCTGTCCGTGATGAACCGGTAGATCTCCGACAGCGGCAGCATGCGCTCGGGAGAACTCCAGATCGCCATAGCAGTTAGCGCTATGTATGAAAATGGTGGTTTCTGATCACCGTAAGACTCACGTGTCGGCCGAGGCATAGTTTAGCACAGTATCGTTTCGAAAATTTAAATGTCACCTTGTTTATGAAAATTATCAGGCAACGCGTCTCTCACTGAGGAGTGGAAGATAAGGACTGGGTGAGTGAGCGAGACTACGCTCGTGAGGCGGGTGGGGCTGCCTCGACGGTGCCGCCCCACGGCGCCCGCACCAATCACGTGCCTTTCTGTTTGTTTGTTGTTTTTGTCGGCTCCGGGCCCGTTACAGAGGAATTTAAATTGTTATCACGTTTACATTATACAAAATTTATTCGACACCGACAACACTTGAGCTTGTTTCGAAATTGCAATGATTAAAGAAGTCGGTATGTATCGATGCTGTGTGCGAGGGAGAGAGGACTCGCTTGGATATGATCCGAGATGATCTTTATTAATAGGTATATACGTAGGTAGTTAGCAGAGGTTGCACCATATTCACGATGGCTGACGTTTATAAACATTTTGGACTTCTAGATGGTGATTAAACAAAATTGATTGACGGGTAAATACCTATCTACTTAGTTAGCGGCTTTCCTGACACAAACAAAATTGAATATTAATTTTAATGACTTTCTGACTATTAAATTATTATGTAGATATGTTTATAACAGATATGATGTTGATGATGATCTGTATACGAGTAAATAGGTATACATGGTACTTATTCCATTATAGGTAGTAGGTACCTTTTTAAAAAATATTAATAATGAATGTATGTATATCATTAAGTAGGTACAAGTCTATGCTCTTAAGAGCCGCTTTGCTATCGTTCACGCTAAGAAAATCAACCCTGTGTAGTTTATACAATTATAAACACACTCTATCTTTATATTAAATCACAAATCAATATGTAATTTGCATTTTCAGCGGAATCCCAATTTTTTTTATCTTATTATTTTAAATTAAATTTCACTGCCTACCTAAATCTCTGTTTGCCCTACGGTTGACTGGAAGAAAATGCTTTAAGGTGTTAAGTCCGCCGTATGCACCTTTATTTGTATATTAAAGTTTTAATAAATAAATAAATATTGGTAATGACAAGGACAATAACCATTCTGCATATAGGTAGTTATATCTACATGTTGGCTACACTATATACATATATTAATTTTCATTATTTCAATAATAGGTAAGTAACTACCTATATGAATTACCTAAACGGCAACTCTCTGTCCATTCATTCTTTTGTTCACTATACACTCTACCTATAGATTTAATAATAGTAAATTGTAAATGTATGTATAAAAAATATATTAAATCAGTAGAATAAATATTTTTACCAATGGTTATTATTGTTTGATTAAAGATTTATATAATTTATCTACGCAGGGAAACATCTACATCTCTATGAACAGCAACAAAGAATTATAATCACACAAAACATAACTATTAAGTAGGTACATTAGGTTAATTAGGTATTTAGTACAATTTACCTATATGTAGATGCTCGGAGAGAGATCCCAAAATGGGTTTTATATGTCAACCAAGAATGAAGCTATAATATAGAATAAAGTTATTTACTGTTACATATACCTACCTATAATAATAGTAGTAGGCACATACTTAATTATTTACTTTCAAAATACAGGTAATGCAGGTAATGTAGGTAAACTAGGTAATAATATTCAATTCCTACCTTATCTAGCATGTTTTAGAGTAGTAGGTACCTACCTCCAGAGATTTTTGTACATTCTAAATTCATATTCTGAAGATTTGGTTTATTTTAATTCTTTATACCTAATTCCTTGAATAGTATGTAGGTACAAAATTGGAAAGCTACATTTTATATAATATAATCTCCGTATAATATAATATAATCTCCATATAATATAACATAATCCAAATGCATACCTACCACGTACTTATAGTCAAAGTCATAAGTCATAAAAATATGACAAAAGACACACTTTCCAAAAAGGTAGAAGAGTATAAAATGCACGGTGAAATAATGCTACCGCAATTTTTTTATTCCGCTGATGTTTGGGCACTTTTGGTTGAAGCACTCTGAGAGTAAATCGTCCACAACTAATGTGAGGGGGTGTTAGTTATTGTTGCTTATTCGAGACTAATGTTCCATGGCGCAAACAGTCGTATTTGCAAAGGTTTCACTGAGATTCATTGCAATGCTCGACAGCGTCGATATTTTATCATGAACCTAATATGTTACTTGCATTTTCTGTTGTAATAGGCATTTGTTAGTTATTGTACAAATAGGTAATTGTCATGGAAGTAGGATCGGCACTTGAGGTGATTACAGATGGGACAATATTAATATAGAACCTTTATCTAATATAGTATTAGGTATATAAATTATAATATGAATCAATATTATTTTAAAAATAACACAGTAGCTTTGTGAATATTTTCATATTATTAAAATTGGCATATATTTATGTGTGGATGTTGAAATGACATTTTATGTCGGTAACATCAATATATATCTACTCGTATTTATACTTTTTTAATCAGACGTCCATGAATTCATTGGATCCATCGTGTGGCGAAGAGCGAAACTTTGAGCAGATCCAGTATCTATAGGTTTAAGTTTCCCCGCTCGTGTTTAGTGTCTCCCTACCCAGCCAAACTAGAACCCCACTAGTACTTTTTTACGTTCTAGTATAGAACTTACTGCTGTTGTAGACAGTAGACAAGTCAAGATTTTTTTTTTAATTGTAGAGATTTTTCGCTGGTATATCTCTCACTCCCACTTCGACCGCATATGTATTAATACTTAGCCATTTTTAGATAATGCGTTTATTAGTTCGTGATATTTATTTGTTTTTACGATATGGTCTTCAGGTATATTTGTTTCCCATAGTACCTACAGTGAGCTCTACCAGTACCTAATATTAATGACACAATTTCGATTAGGAAATATGTTGGTATTTTGGTAGTTTTATATTTATATGATTGGTATATTACTTGTATATGTTGTAATAGTTATTTTACGTGTGCAATATCGATATCGTATTTATACTTTAATCCTCCCGCTTATTGGAGTAAGCCACATCTGATGATGGTTCCGTAACCCAGCCACGTCCTGCTAAATTGTCGGCGTCAGAGCAAATCGACCCATTAAATTCAATCGATCGTCCTACAAGGGGACAGAAGCGTCACTTATACATCCACTATGTAATTTTGAGATATTAAAGTAACATTTCAGAACATTGAATTCCTTCTTTGTATGCCAAACGTAAACCGCCCTTTGTCACGGTTAAGTTTGGAACATTGTCAGCGGGAAGTTCTTATGATGGCAAAAAATTAAGAAAATGTCTATAATATTCAATAATTACCAACTGTATAAGTTACTTGATACGCTGCGGGTTCTATCTCCTGCTAATCCATATAAAATACTAACGACAATATACAGATAATACATTATTACTTTTTAAATCTCCAATATAGCAGAAACAATTTTTGAATTAGGAATGTGAATGGGTATTGTTCCATAATAAAACTTTTTTATTTATTTATTAGTTTATTATTTATTTATTATGCGCAGCTATCAGACAAAAAGTACATTACAAAATGAACTTAGTACTTGTAACAAAAAGCTAAATATAAATAAAGTAAATAGTTCTCTCATACATAGTACGAAAAATTTAAAACACATTACTAATACTACAATTCACCAACAAGTGCTTAACTACCCGTATAATTAAATTAGTTAAATAACATAGAAAATATTATTATATATATATTTTTTTTCAAACGGAAAAACATAGCTATTTATTAAAGATACTGGCCACTTCTCGATGGAGCACCGACTTATGTAGAACAAAAAAAGAAAATAAAGAAAACGCGCGAAAATAGGTAAACACTCGTAGATCTAATTGTAAGTTAATTATATTCGTATATGAAACTGTGCAAATCTTTTTTTAAGCACTGCAACTTAAGAAGGCGTTATAAAAGGAAAGTGGTTAATATAAAAATATTACATATTATAAATAATTATAAAATTAAGTAAGTTAACTGTATAAAGTACCTAATACCTAAATAAGTAGATATAGGTATAATTCCGGGAGAAGTGGCCCATAGAAAAAAATCAACTAAGTAATAATAAACAAATGTCTCTTCTTTTAATTTAATTTCGTTTCGTTATGAAACCACCATCGCGGCAGTGTGACTGATAGATTTTTTGTTTAAAATAATGGACGTCCTCGGTGGTCTAGCGGCTCAGCACACCACTTTACTCTCAATGGTCACGGGTTCAATTCCTCGCAAAGTAGTACCTAACCTAACCTAACATTTTGTATATATGACTATGATTAGGTACTTGTTTTAGTCCGAGTGTTTTCTATGTAGTACTAACATTAGATATGTATGTATTTACAAAAATGATTTTAAGTATTTATATAAGTTGTGTACTACCCATACCACACTCTCTGCTTAGCTGGAGGCTAGATGATGCGTCGTTTTAAATAGTCCTGAGTTATTATTATTATTATTCATTACCCTTTATATATAGGTAGATATATAAATAAGCACAGAGACAGAACAATTCAACTGTACCCTAAAAATATAAATCACATCCTTTCAAATGCAGATCCAACATTTTGCAACGTTTTAACTTTATAAAATACATTTTAAGTTCACGACTTTGTTTCCTCATACAATCACGAGTGTATTGTGGATGGTTGGTCACGGTGGATGCGTTTTACAGATATGTATGACACGCGTGTAATACGTTAGCAAATTGTATTAATTCAATATTTATAAGAAAGGGCATTCGTTCCCTTCACGATATTTTTAATCATTGTTATAAATTATTGCTGGCAACATTTTATAGTATATGCCGTAGCCAAATTAGATTTCATGAATATTGTTGTTGTTATATCAGAATAATACAAATAATAGTAAGTAATATATTAACAAATGCCGTTTAAATGCTTACTGTATTACTATAGAATTTATTAAGGTCTATTCTATAATCCATAAACAACATATTTATCTATATACTTGCATAGGATATGTCATAAAAACTAAAGCAAACATGAAATCCAAAAATGTTTATTGAATTTCCCATTTTTTTATTAATTTGTTACAGAATGTGAGCTGAGAGCTTCATTTCACTTGTTTCCCAAC